AATAATTTATATGAGTTACTTCTTCAGCTGAATTCTCAAAAGATTATTTGGCCATCATTACCACTACTATCCAATTTTAAGTTCACAGTCAATGATTCAGGTGAAGACAGGAGTAAGTAAAAAGTTGGTGTCTCATGCCTATAATCCCAGCACTCTGGGAGGCAAAGGTGGGTGGATCATGAGGTCAAGAGTTCAAGACAAGCCTGGCCAAGATGGTGAAACACCTTCTCTACTAAAAATACAAAAATTAGCCAGGTGTGGTGGTGGGCGCCTGTAATCCCAACTACTCAGGAGGCTGAGGCAGAGAATTGCTTGAACCCAGGAGGTGGAGGTTGTAGTGAGCTGACATCGCACCACTGCACTCCAGTCTCTTGAGTAGCAAAATTTAAATTTAAATTCAAAAAAGCTGGGTGAATGTAGCCTTTCTTCCCTTCCAACTTTGCTGCTAAAAGTTACACAAACAATGAAATGTATATATTTATATACCCAGTTTTCCACCAGTCATCTTTCTAATCATTATACATACTTTTCAATGGGAAGAGGATGTGGTCCAGACACAGAAAGTTTGTAGATAAACATAAGAAATTTCCTAAAAGCTTCAAAAAAAGGCCAGTGTGAGAGTAAACAAATGCATTTGTTTGTATTGATGGATTTGGAGACCAGTTTTCTCTCCACAGGCGTCAACAGGCCCAGCTGCATAAGCTGTTTTTCTGATAGAAGTTCCCGAGAGTATGGTTCATAAAACTGAATGGCAGCTCCATATACCTAAAGAGTAAGAGAACTGTTATAAGATTTGAGTTTGTTTCAAAGTATTAACTTTTCTTTTTCTCTTATTACACAAGAAATATTTGCTTGGAGTACATTTATACAGATAAATTACCAAAAAAAATCTTACCCAAAATTCTATCCCAGAGATAACCAGATTTTTATGTAAATCCCTCAAGATTTTTTCCACTGCAATTTTATATATTCAACTATGTATCTTACATAAAAATGGATGGTAACCTCTTGTAACTTGCTTTCATTTTTAAAAGTGAAATTTTTTTTTACCTAGCTCCTACCCTAGAGCATGAACTCTAATGACTCGCTCAACACATTTTTTGTGCTTTGTGTGTTTTTTGTTTTGTTTTGTTTTTCGGGGCTTTTTTTTTTTTTTTTTTTTTTTTTTTTTTTTTTTTTTTTTTTTTCTGTTTTTTTGACGGAATCTCGAGCTCTGTCACCCAGGCTGAAGTGTAGTGGCCGATCTTGGCTCACTGCAACCTCCAACTCCTGGGTTCAAGCGATTCTCCTGCCTCAGCCTCCCAAGTAGCTGGGATTATGAGTGCGTGCCACCACGCCCAGCTAATTTTTTGTATTTTTAGTAGAGGCAGGGTTTCACCATGTTAGCCAGGATGGTCTATATCTCCTGGCTTCATGATCCACCCACCTCGGCCTCCTAAAGTGCTGGGATTATAGATGTGAGCCACTGTGCCCGGCCCAGATTTTTTTTAATTGGGTTAAAATATACATAACATAAAATACACCACTTTAACCATTTTCAACCACTTTAACAATTCACTAGTATTAAGTAACTTCAAAATGGAGTGCAACCGGTATAACTATTCATTTCCAGAACTTTTTCATTACCCCAAACAAAAGCTCTATAACCCTTAAACAGTAAATTCCCATTCTCTTGCCCTCAATCCAAGTCCCTGATAAGCTCTATTGTACTTTCTGTCTCTATAAGTATAGCTATTCTAGGTACCTCCTATAAGCGGAACCATACAAAATTTATTCATTTGTGTCTGGCTTATTTCACTTGGAATAATGTTTTCAAGATTCATCTATGTTGTAGCACATACCCAAATTTCATTCCTTCTTAAGGAATAAATAATAATTCCATCATATGCATATACCACATTTTGTGTATCCATTCATATGCTGATGAACATTTGGATTGTTTCCTCCTTTTGCCTATTACGAATAATCCTGCTACAAACACTGGTGTACAAGTATCCTCTGATTGAGTCTCTGCTTTCAATTATTCTGGGTATATGCCTAGGCATGTAAGTGCTGGATCGTATGGTAATTCTATGTTTAACATTTGGAAGGGGTTGCCAAATTGTTTTCTACAGCAGCAGCATTTGATTTTCTTATCAGCAATTCACAGGTTCAATTCCTCGATATCCTCGCCTTGTATGACATTAAGATACAGCTGACACTCCTCTGTCTTAAAACTCTTTACTCCTTTGTTGTCTTTGTATTCCCTAAAGTTCTAATGTGCACTTCTATTTAGAAAATTTCATTCTCTCATGGTTTTAACTATAATCACTAGACTAAAAAAACACAAATCTTTACCTGATCGAAACTCAGACTCCAATACCCACCTGGATGTCGTACAGGCATCCCAAACCAATATTTTCAAAAGTGAACTCATTATCTAAATATTTCATCCAATATGCCTAATCTTACTCAGTTATGTCATACAATCCCCAAGCTAGAAATTTTGAAGTCAAACTCAATTCCAATTCCACTTACCACATATCAAAGCAACTATTGAGGCCCTAACTGGTCTCAAGTGAGAAAAAAGCATTTTAGTGAAAAATACACTGAAGAAAGAGTCGTTCAGAGATAATATCTGATCCTTCAAAAGTTCCCCACTTCAGGTAAAATGCCACAATCTGTATAAGTGGCATGATGTTCTCAACTCCTGATAGTACCTACTGTTCCTGCTCAACAATACAGAGCTACCAGGCACATAGACTAGTTCATAATTTTGTGCCTTGGTATATTTTGCTTAGCCTTGGTACTTCCTCTGATCTGTCCATTCCTTAAAACACTGCAAAGAAATTCTATCACTATACCCATCCCCTTCTCCCAACAATCAATCCTTACTTCTGTATTTTATAAATCTTGCCAACTATTTAGTCATTATATATATCACAATAACCCTTGGCTTTACACACATACCATTCCCAGATACAATTATTTCAAAGTGATCTCAAAGTTTGTAACAAGCAGTATGACAAATGTATAAACATAAATTTTACACACCTCAATGCTTCCATGTTGATATCCCCTAACTAATGAATAAACCAAGCAGATCACCCAGTATCCACATCTCAAATGAGACTTTATTGTTCTCTACTGTCAAAGTATATTAGGTAACTCTTAAATGTTTGGAGATCTTAAAATTTTCAGTTATTTTTACTAATTTCAGCAGGAGAAATTATAAGTGATTATTAAGCTAACAAGTTAGTTTAGTAGTAGGCAATCGAGTTAATATAATATTGATCTTCACTCAGCATTTTCTATGTTCCAGGCACTATGCTGGATACTTTACATACATTATCTTTAACATAGTGGTTATAAACGTGTAGCCTGTACCTGTAGAATGAGGTCATAGATATATTTTGTTTCATCCACATGAGTCAGTTCAGGGTATGTTTTTCCAGCAAATATTGCCTATTTTATTAAATTTCCTTAGAAAGTTTTCTATTTTTAGGCCGGGCGCGGTGGCTCAAGCCTGTAATCCCAGCACTTTGGGAGGCCGAGGCGGGTGGATCACGAGGTCAAGAGATCGAGACCATCCTGGTCAACATGGTGAAACCCCATCTCTACTAAAACTACAAAAAATTAGTTGGGCATGGTGGCGCGTGCCTGTAGTCCCAGCTACTCAGGAGGCTGAGGCAGGAGAATTGCTTGAACCCAGGAGGCAGAGGCTGCGGTGAGCTGAGATCGCGCCATTGCACTCCAGCCTGGGTAACAAGAGGGAAACTCCGTCTCCAAAAAAGAAAGTTTTCTATTTTTAAATTTCTACTCCTATCAGCTTTTTATTATGAATACTGTTTATTTTTGCCTTCTCTTCTTTATAAATCAGTTTATGTCATTATTACTGTTATATACAATGTATGTTTTACATCAGACAATAAATGTCTTTTCTCTCTAGTTGTTTTTTCTTTTTTGGTTTTTTTGTCTCTGGTGTTCCATCATTGCACTATGATATAAAAAGAGGCGGAATAGGCCAAGCGTGGTGGCTGACACCTGTAATCCAGCACTTTGCGACACCAAGGCGGGTGGATCAGCTAAAGTTAGGAGTCCGAGACCAGCCTGACCAAGATGGTGAAACCCTATCTCTACAAAAAAAAAATACAAAATTAGCCGGGTGTGGTGGTACATGTCTGTAATTCCACTACTTGTGAGGCTGAGGCAGGGGAATCACTTGAACCTGGGAGGCAGAGGTTGCAGTGAGCTGAGATCACGCCATTGCACTTCAGCCTGAGAAACAAGAGTGAAACTCCATCTCAAAAAACAAAACAACATAAAAAGGTGGGATTATTCATTTATTTACTTGTTTACTTTTCTCTGCTGCAGATTCAGAGTGCATCGCTAATCTGAAGACTCAATTTTTTCATCAACCTTGGAAAACTCTCAACCATTAGCTCTTAAATGTAGCTTTGTCCTTTTCTAGTCACTCCTGCTGGAACTCATTAAACACCTATTAGACCTTCTAATACTATCTGCTACATTTTTTGACTCCTTTTATGTTTTACATTTGTATGTGCCACATTTAAGGTAACCTATCTTCCACTTCACTAATTCTCCCTTCAGGTGTGTCTTATCTCTGCTTTTTTTCTTCTTTTGAGACAGACTATCACTCTGTAGCTCAGGCTGGAGGGCAGTGGCGCAATCTCAGCTCACTGCAAACTCCGTCTCCTGGGTTTAAACGATTCTCATGCCTCAGCCTCCAGAGTAGCCAAGATAGTTCTTACATCATTTCAATAATATTTTAATTTATAACATCTTTTATATTATCATTCTGTCATTTCAATGTCTTGAGGGTCTAACCCAGCTTTTTAATTGCGTCTGTTGATTCTTTCTGTGGTACCTATGTCTTCTATTTGTCATCATCATCTCGAGTCCTGGGTTTTGAAAGTGTAGAGAGACTTTATCTTTGCTTCTGTAAAGTTCCCGAGGTATCAATATCCTGATAGCAATTTTCATGTGGATTTCTCATCATGGGGATGACAGTGTAAATTTAAACCAAAATGTATCATGTCCAAATAATCCTAACATTCAAATAAAACTTGTATTAACCACTTTATAAAATAAAAACATGGCAAAAATAGGTTTAATCAATGATGCAAAAACATACCTTTTTGGCTGAAGAAACTGTCAACACAAAAGTTGAAAAAACTGGAAGTGGATATTTGGTTTCTGGATCCCAGCACTCAATAGTGGCTCCCATAGGAAGGCAGAAGAGAGGTACATCTGATTCTGAGAGTGGAAATGACTCATAGTCCTCTTCTGGATATCTAAAAATTAAACCTTTTGAAGAATGAGACAACAATAAATTTTTTAAATAGTTACTTTGCCATAAATTACATATGATAGATATTAATGGAATATTTTAATACCAAATTTCATGGCAATACTTGTGTGGTATTTTTAAATCGATTTTTATCTTGCTATAACAGAAACTACAATAAACAAGTTTGCCCCTGACATTTTACCCATGGATTTATAGTTCATTGTAACATAAAAATGTATTAATATACTACTTGAGACTCCATTCAACCAATCTTGATCACCAATCAATGTATTTTCTTCTACACATGCCAACAACTTACGAAAAATCGTAAGAAACATACAGAAAAATTTACCAACTATTTCAGTTAGTCTTCTGTGAAAAATTCAGGGAAGAGACAAGTGTTATCAAATAATGCTGAGGCAACAGAAATTATCACAGCCCCTAAACTCATCTTGAGAGAGAAGCAGGGTAAAAGGCATGCAACATGAAAAGTAAACGAGACAGAAACGTTGTGACTAAGTACAGAGTACATGAGACCCAGAAAGTAGGAGCAAGGGGCACTTTGAGAAGCACAATAAAGCCCCTTCAGAATAAATTACCTACATGGCATCAGTTCATTAGCCTCTAAGGACATCAATACATGGACCATCTCCAAGTGAAAAACTTCAAAATAAGTAGTAGAATTTTGAGCCCAAATTCAGTATCCAAAACTCTCTATTCTAAAGTAAGTGTCTCATATCAAATAACTGAATGCTTTTTTACAGCTTAAGTTTTTTAAGTGATATCCTTCCCCACAAAAAAAATTAAGAAATCACATACAATCAACATATTACAGCAGTATTAAAAGTATCACTCTTTTTTTTCTTTTTTTTTTTTTTTTTAAGACAGAATCTTGCTCTGTCACTCATGCTGGAGTGCAGTGGTGCAATCACAGCTCCCTGCAACCTCTGCCTTACGGGTTCAAGCAATTCTCATCTCTCAGCCTCCCAAGAAGCTAGGACTACAGGTGTGCACCACCACGCCTGGCTAATTTTTGTATTTTTAGTAGAGACAGGGTTTCACCATGTTGGCCAGGCTAGTATCAAACTCCTGGCCGCAAGTGATCTGCCCACCTCAATCTCCCAAAGTGCTGGGATTACAGGCATGAGCCACCATGCCCAGCCTACAGTATCAAATTTTAAAATAATACTGAATTTTATATTTTTTAGCTGTTGCCATTATTTTTATATGGTAAATTAAATGGTTTGGTTCATTAGTATGAATGTTGTTTCATGAAAGGCAACAATTTTTGGATATTGATTTGCCTGACTTCCCTGAAGTAAAACTTTATTTCAAGAACTGTGCAAAATCAAAAAGTAATTAGCACTGCTTCGTTTCACAAAGAAGTATTCCAGTATCTTTTCTATTTACAACTGGAGCATACCTGTATTTTCAGTTTTTATCCCACCATACCAGTGGGATGAAGAGGTGACACTTAAATCTTTACAGCCCTTGACACTTTAATGTGCAGTAAGAATGTGGCGATAGATTTCTCAAACACTTCATGGCAGAAAAGTTTCTCAGGCCCTCCTCTCCTCCATTTAGCTGATTCTTTGCAACAAAGGAGAAAGGAAGCAAGTCCACCTTTCATGGCAAGTAACATGTGGTTTCAAATCAGACACACAGAGATAAGAAAAGGAAATATAAGAAGTAAAGATGCAGTTGACACCTTTCTGATTGCCAAAATATAAAAGGTCAGAGAGTAAACAACTTTCCATTATACTGTTAAATCGATTAACGCAGACCAAAAGTTTGAATGTTTATTCCACATATGTTTGCTTTGGATAAATGTTTAAATTAAATTAACAGCATGTTTGGTCGGGGTATTAATATATCTTGTATATGTAATGTATTTAAGAAAACATTTATCTTTATATGCTATAATTATAGATAATTTTATGAATAGATCAATTCTACAAACTATATAAGGGAACATACTTTGTTTCTTTAGCCAAATGTTAATATGCACCAATAAGTACAGCAATTGAGACAATTTTTTTTTAAATTCACTTACCAGCCTTATATGCTATTGCATTTGAAGCAGGAACAGACTTCTTATAACACAGAAACACGCTGGAACCCCACTGTAAAACATAAATTAGGTTTATAAAAAGACAAAAGAGTTAAAAGAAATTCATTTTGTTGGATATTATCTAAAGATTCTTGTTATTTACTCAGGAGAGTCTTTAAAATATGTTTATATGACAAACTACATAGTATAAAATACATCACAGCATGAAGTTCAGAACACTAAAATAAGAGAGTAAGAAAACAATGCTACAAAAATCAAACTAATATGAAGGCAGTTTCAAAAGATTTAATTTTGCAATGACCCAGAGATTGCCCCTGCTTGTAAGACACAGCACAAAGTGGAGTGCGCACTAGAGCCCAAAATGAGGAAGACTGGGATCACTGGAGTGCTACGAGGTCATCACCTCCAGAGGCAACCCTGTCTTCACTAATTGTTCTGAGTGCATTTGTCACCTCCGTCTATATAACATTAAGCTAATATTAGTTTGACTTGAAGGTATTTTTCAAAGTAAATCTGAACTAAAATAAACTGTAGTCTTTAAAAACTATGAATCAAATGTTTATGTTCATTTTCCTCTTCACTAGAGTCCTTTTAAAAAGTAAGTATGCACAACTGCAATATTTTCTCTTCAGCCCAAGAGTTCAGGAGCATCCTGGGCAGCTTAAGGAGACCCTGTCTCAAAAAACAAAACAGGTAGGCATGGTGTCTCACGCCTGTAATTCCAGCACTTTGGGAGGCCGAGGCAGGCAGATCACTTAAGGTCAGAGGTTCAAGACCAGCCTGGCCAACATGGTGAAACCCTGTATCTACTAGCCTGTAGTCCCAGCGACTTGGGAGGCCAAGGTGGGAAGATCACTTGAGTGTGGAGGGTCAAGGCTGAGGTGAGCTGTGATCACACCACTGCACTCCACCCTGGGAAACAAAGCAAGACTCGGTCTCAAAAAAAAAAAAAAAAAAATCGAATGAATTAATAAATCAACATGAGGAGAGCCCCTACCATTCTATCCCTGCAGTTATCCCTGAAGATACCAGTGAAATCCAAAAGGTAATAAAACCTTTGTTAATGTAACTCAAACAGTATTAGGATTAACTCCTCCAAAAATATCCCTGACTTAAAGATGAAATTATTGTAAATCACGGGATGGGATTTTAAACATTATTATCAATCATAAAAATTAGGAAAAAATAAAAACAAACATCATGAAAATATAAAATGTGAGTAAAGTATATACCCAACAGTAAACAGCAATCCAAAACATATCCTTTTTTGTTTTCATATGAAACTTTGAAAATAAAAACTTTATTCTTACCATTCCACAATTTAAGTTTTTATCAACTTTGCAGAAGGTATGAGGAGGAGTTTCTCCTTTACTGGTTACAATAACACAGATATCAGTTACAGCCAAGGAATTCTGGGGTCGAACTGGAGGAGCCCTTCGATAAGTGATAAAGATTCTTTGTGAAGTAGTTGAACTATTGTTGACATTGGCACAGCGACCATAGGGTGTGGCTAGGATCACTTCACATCCTGGAATAAGCCGTTCTTTCCCTTCATATAGAACTCTGCATGGCAGGAAGGAAGGGAAGAAATAGATATAGATACATACATACACACAAACATATGTACCTATATATATACATACTACATACATTTCAGGTTAATGCTGATTTTCTTCTTGAAACCAAGAAAATTTTTTTGGTTTCTCCTATTGTTTCCCGATCTCCACTACAAACCAAATTTAAATTATTCCTTTGGGAACTTTAAGTCTTTTAATTATTTTTCAAAACCCAAAACATAATTTGAGAAATGTAAACAGGATTGAACAACTTGATTTTTTTATTGCTTAATAACAAGCAACATATGAAAAAAGAAACAGGCAACACCACAAACATCTTCAGGTCAATTCCTAGACGTTTCAAGAAGTATTCAGATGTTTTCATAAAAATTCCCTTCATAATTTGTCAATTTTTTAGCTTTAAAAATTATTTGAAAACTATAAAACATTAAAGAGCTAAATAAATAAGACATCTTATGCTTACGGACAAAAGACAATATTGGTAAGATGGTAATACCCTCAAATAGATCAATAAAGTCAATGCAATTTCTATCTAAATCCCAGCTGCCTCTGTTTTTTCTTGTCAAAGCAATCTGGAAAAAGAAGAAAGCTGGAGGACTCACACTTCCCTATTTCAAAACTACCACACATTTACAGTAATCGGTGCAATGTACTGGCATAAGGATAAACATATAGATCAACAGAATTCAATGGAGGTTCCAAAATTAAGCCTTTATATTTGCATCTGTTTATTTCAACAACGGTGCCAAGACAATGCAATTAGGAAACAATGGTCTTTTCAACAAGTGGTGTTAGAATAACTGTATATCTACATGCAAAAGCATGAAGCTGGACCCCTTCCCTGTACTACTCATCAAAAAAACTAAAAATGGATCAAAATTAATGTAAGAACTAAAACTATAACAGTCTTAGAAAAAAAACAGGGATAAATATTTGTGACCTTAGGTTAGACAAAGCCTTCTTAAATATAATACCAAAAGTACAAGCAACTAAACATGCTAAGTGAAGAAAAATAAAAAAACAGTCACAAAGACCACATATAGTGATTCTGTTTTTATGAAATGTCTAGAATAGGCAAATCCATAGACAGAAAGTAGATTAATAGTTACCTAGGGGTAGAAGGTGAGAAAGACTACTAAACAGCAACTGCTAATGACCATGGGGTTTCTTTTTAGATAGATGAAAATGTTCTAAAATTAATTGGGGTGGCAGCTGCACAACTCTGTAAATAATACTAAAAATCACTGTATACACTTTAAGTAAATAAACTGTGTGACATGTGAACTGTATCTCCATAAAGCTGTTAAAGCCCAACTAATATTAAAATATACTATAAAGCCTCTATATTTAAATCAGGAGAGTATTAGCAAGTAAGTGAACAGACAAACAGAAGAAAAATCTAGTATATGATGATGGTCATATCTCAACATACAAAGGGAAGGATAAATTTTTAAATTTAATAAGCAGGATTTAGATAATTGGATTGTCATTTGGAAAAAAATAAAATTCTGTCCATACTTCAGACTATACACCAGAAGGGGATCCCCCAGTGGATCACAGATCTAAACATAAGGAATGAAATCATACTAGTGCTAAATAGAAGTATACCTAGCAGTTCCAAAAGACTATGACTCAAAATCTAGTAGCAATAAATATGAGAGTAGAAAAATGAACTACATAAAATAAATTTTACATGACAACAAACACCATAAGCCAAGATAAAAGACAAGTTATAGAGTTGAAGAAAATACTTGGCAACTTATTTCACAAAAAGTTCATCTTCCTAATACATAAAAAAAACTCCTTTTAAAAAAATCAAGGTAAAGATTAAAAATCTGTTCATAGTGTAAGCAAAAGAAAAAAGAAAATCACCCATTAAACAGATGTAGAAATGCTTAACCTCAATGAAATTACTGTGATATACAATTAATCTCTGTGAGACTGACAAAAAATATAAAAGTCAGACCACATACTTTGTTGATGGGATGTGGATAAAAAAGCACTCACATATATAGCAAAATATAAAATGGCACAAACACTATAGAGAAAAATTTAGTAACATTTAACAAAATTATATGCACATTTATACTTTAATCCAGCAATCTTTCCTAAGATCTACCTGAAAACATACCTCCAAAAATATGTAACAATAAATGCACAAAGTTATTCATCAAGTATTCTTTTAATATCACAAAACTGGGAACAACCCAAATGTCCATCAGTAGGGGTTTTGTTGAATAAAGTAAATACATCCACACAAATAAGTATTATACAGTCACACAAAATAATGAAAAAATCTTCTATTCAGATACAGACTGATTCCCAGTACATACTCTTAGGTGAAAAAAGCAAAGTACAAAATAGGATATGGAGTATCTACATTTTGGCTCCTACTTCCTTTCAATTAGCTTAGTAAACAAACGAAAAAATGTCAATTTGTTGGTGACAAGTATATTGTTCATTATTCTATAGTCTATCATCTAGGAGAAAAGGATGCTTGTGTTTATTATAATAGTTTATCAACTTTCCATATGTCTGAAGTTTCTCAAAAAACAAAAGAGCTGGAGAACCAAATCAGCTGAAAGTCAATGAATCTGATAAAGAGAAGAAAATAAGAATTGTGTATGGTCTATGATTCTGTATCTTAAGAAATGCAGCTGATATATAAAACAACATACTGCCCTGTTCAGATTATACAGACATGCACCACATAACGATGCTTCAACTACAGACTACATATACTAAGGTGGTACCATAGATTAAAATAGAGTTGAGAAATTCCTATCACCTAGTATGTACAATACTATATCTTTTATCATTAGAGTATACTCCTAGTTACAAAAAAAGTTAACTGTAAAACAGTCTCAGGCATAAGAATGCCATCTGGAATACCTCCTAAAGGTATCATAGAGCTTATAACAACTCTATGTGGGTTACTACCCCTGAAGACCTTTCAGTGGGACAAGATCTGGTGGCAGAAGGCAGAGACAGTGATGATACTGGCTCTCTGTAGGCCTAGGCTAACGTGTCTTTTTGTCTTAATTTTTAACAAAAGAGTTTAAATAGTTTAAAAAAAAAAAAAAAAAACCAGGGACAAAAGTTCACACCCCTAATCCCACCACTTTGGGAGGCCAACGTAGAAGGACTGCTTGAAGTCAGGAGTTCAAGAACAGCCTAGGAAACATAGGAAGATATCATCTTTGCAAAAAACTTTCAAAATAAGAAAACTGTATTTTTAACCAGCCAGGTGCGATGGCTCACACCTGTAATCCTAGCACTCTGGGAGGCCAAAGTGGGCAGATCACCGGAGGTCAGGAGTTTGAAACCAGGCTGGCCAGCATGGTGAAACCCTGTCTCTACTATAAAATACAAAAAGATTAGCCAGGCATGGTGGCAGACACCTGCAATCCCAGCTACTCAGGGAGGCTGAGGCAGGAGAATCACTTGAACCTAGGAAGCAGGTTAAAGCTGCAGTGAGCCAAGATCGTGCCACTTACTGCACTCCAGCTTGGGAGACAAAACAAAACACCAACTCCAAAAAAAAAAAAAGAAAAAAAAAAAAAAAAAAAAAAAACCCAAAGTTTAAATACCAAGCCAGTCCCAGCTATTCAGGAGGGTGAGGCAGGAGAAGGATCACTTGAGCCCAGGAGTGCAAGGCCAGCCTGGGCAACATAACAAGCCTCCATTTAAAAGAAGGTTTTTTTGTTGTTTTTTTTTAATTTTTGCCGGGTACAGTGGCACATGCCTGTAATCCCAGCACTGTGGGAGGGAGAGGTAGCTGGATCACTTGAGTTCAGGAGTTCACGACCAGCCTGGGCAACATGGAGAAACCCCACCTCTACAAAAAACAAAAACAAAAAAATTAGCCAGGAGTGGTGACACACACCTGCTACTCAGGAGGCTGAAGTGAAAGGATTATCGCCTAAGCCCAGGAGGTAGAGGCTGCAGTGAGCCTAGATTGTGCCACTGCACTCTAACCTGGGCAACAAAGTGAGACCCTGTTTTGAAATAAATAAATAAATAAATAAATAAATAGTAGAAGAAATTTTTTAAATAGAAAAAAACAATAAGGATTTAAAGAAAGAAAAACATTTTTGTATAGCTGTATGGTATTTGTGTTTTAAACTAAGTATTACTACAAAAGAATCAAAAAATTAACAAAACCTCTAAAAGTTTATAAAGTAAAAAGGTTACAATAAGCTAAGGTTAATTTATTAAAGTCTACAGTAGTGTACAGTCATGTCCTAGGCCTTCATATTCACTCACCACTCACTCACTGACTCACTCAATATATCACATGTATATATGGTAAAGTATTACAGGTATTCTAAAAGCACATAAATTTTACAGAAGAGTCAAGGTAGCCATTTGGGCTGTGCTGGGTACAAAGGTCCACTCTGTAGGCTTTTACAAAAAAGAATGACTTCATTGGTAGACTAGATACGAGATATTTCATGAAAAGCGTAACACTTATCTGTAAACACCCTCCTCCCAGCACTGAAAGCCACACAGTACAACTGTATTTAAAACAGGACTGCTCTTTTGTTAAACAAGAACAGATCTTCACAAGAGCTCACTATATAACCCAAGCAGCTCCTTAAAATTACAGTGTCTTTATTATAGCTTCTCATTCTACTGTGTTTAATTAATCATCTTATTTGATTACACAACAGAAACAAAATGACATTTTAGGGTCTTATGTCTTCATTTTAATATTCTTTTGAGAGCAAATGATCTAACAATTCAAGTGCAATGCAGAGAAATTCAATAAGGGTGGATACGAACATGTAATATATTACTATAATTAATCCTGAAGTAACAATACAACTATAATAATAAACTATCAATAATAAAACTATCAAGGATTTCAAATTTCTACTTCCATGAGTCTTAAATAAATTTTTTTCTTTCACTACAGCAAAGAAAATAAGTCACCATACCCAATATCTGTAAGGGGTGGTTTATCTCTCCCTCTCTTGTAACAGAGGAAAAGTTCTGGGCTTTTCAGACTTCCATAATTCAGGTTTGCCTGGAGAGCTGATGGAGTAGCTTCCACACAGGTGTAACCTTCAGGTACTGTTTCTCCAGCTGATTTGATAATAACAGCAATGTCTGTAATTGGAGCTTTAGGTCCAGTTGACTTAGTATCTAAACGATTTATTTCTTGATCCAAAAGGGTAGATGTGTCAGTGAGACCAGCTACGACAAAGTAGTCTGTCACTCTTGGTCCTTTGTCTTCTATCATGGCTGCTACTATATTTCCTAGAAGAGGGAGAAGAAAGATATCAATAAAACACTTTATCCTGACAAAAATTAATATATCCCTGAGTTAACAATCATCAATTAGCACACTTCTCAGCTGGAGTTATAATCAAATTGTCATTCTGAGAAGAAGGCTATTTTTATCATCCCGTCAGATTTTACCTCCTACAAAGTACAAGTTAACAACATCAATTCATTTGTAACACAACTATAATCTTTTCACTTGTGTAAGGCTCTATTAAGAGTAATCTCCCGGCACGGTGGCTCATGCCTGTAATCCTAGCATTTTGGAAGGCCGAGGCAGGTGGATCACAGGTCAGGAGATGGAGACCATCCTGGCTAACACGGTGAAACCCCATCTCTATTAAAAATACAAGAAATCAGCCTGGCGTGGTGGCATGCTCCTGTAGTCCCAGCTACTCGGGAGGCTGAGGCTGGAGAATCCCTTGAACCCAGGAAGGAGAGGTTGCAGTGAGCCAAGATCACGCCACTGCACTTCAGCCTGGGTGACAGAGCAAGACTCCGTCTCAAAAAAAAAAAAAAAAGAATAATCCAACTGGGGCCTGGCACAATGGCTCATGCCTGTAATCCTACAACTGTCGGGGGCCAAAGCGAAGATCACCTGAGGTCATAAGTTCAAGACCAGCCTGGCCAACATGGCGAAACCCTGTCTCTCCTAAAAATATAAAAATTAGGCTGGGCACAGTGGCTCACACCTGTAATCTTAGCACTTTGGGAGGCCAAGGTGGGTGGATCACCTGAGGTCAGCAGTTCAAGATCAGCCTGGCCATGATGGAGAAACCTCATCTCTACTAAAAATACAAAAATCAGCTGACTGTGGTAGCGGGCACCTATAATCCTAGCTACTCGGGAGGCTTAGGCAGGAAAATTGCATCAACCGGGAGGGTGGAGGTTGCAGTGAGCCAAGATTGTTTCACTTCCCTCCAGCCTGGGCGAAAAAGAGAAACTCCATCTCAAATAAATAAAAAAATATTAGCCAGGCATGGTGGTGTGCACCTGTAGTCCCAGCTACTCAAGAGGCTGAGGCACGAGAATCACTTGAACCAGGAAGGCGGAGGTTGCAGTAAGCCGAAATTGTGCCACTGCACTCCAGCCTGGGCAACAGAGTAAGACTCTGTCTCCAAAAAAAAAGTCAGGGCTGGTGGCTCATGCCTGTAATCCCAGCACTTTGGGAGGCTGAGGTGGGTGGACTGCTTGAGGTCAGGAGTTTAAGACCAGCCTGGCCAACATGGTGAAACCCCATCTCTACTAAAAGTACAAAACTTAGTCAGGTGTGCTGGCAGGTGCCTATAATCCCAGTTAGGCTGAGGCAGGAGAACTGCTTGACCCTAGGAGGCAGAATTTGCAGTGAGCTGAGACAGCACCACTGCACTCCAGCCTAGGCAACAGAGCAAGACTCCATCTCAAACAATAATGGTAAAAAAACTATCAGAGGTGGACTATGGTATTTTCCTTTGAGCCAAATGCCTTAATGAACAATATTCAGACCATTCAAAATATCGTTCACTTTTAAGTTACAGGAGTTTTAGAGCTAAACTCCACATTTAAATAAATTGAGTGCATCATTAATTAGTCAAGATCTAAGATCAGAAAAATTAAAGAAATAGTAATAAATAATCATTAAAGCAGTTTCTTAACAATCCAGTTATAACTCTTTGCTTTATAAACATTAAACTTTCCACAAACACAATGTAAAATAAGTAAGCTTAGGAATCATTAAATATTTTATATCTAAAAATACCAGAGCATAAGAAACAAAAACCAATGAAACCATTCCCACAATCAAGATAGTGAAACATATCTGTCAACACCAAAATTTTCTTTTTCCACTTTCATTATCTCTCCTCCCCAGGCAACAAGTTATCTCCTTCCTATCACTATAGATAAGTTTCTAGAATTTATATAATAAGTAGACTCATACAGTATATATTCTTTCTCTGGATTCTTTCACTCATCATAATTATTTTGTGATAAATGCATGTTGTTGCTTATATCAACAGTTCATTCCTTGTTATTACTGAGTGATATTCCACTGTATGAATATACCACAGTATGTTTATGCATTCACCTATATTAATAGACATTTGGGTTATTTCCCGTGGGAAGCTATTACAAATAAAGCTGCTATGAATACCCATGTACAAATCTTATGGACATAATGCTTTCATTTATCTTGGGTAAATTCCTAGAACAGGATGGTTGGATTAGGTGTTTATAGGTCTAAAAAACTGCCAAACAGTTTTCTAAAGCGAGTGTACCATTTTTTTCACTCTTGTCAGCTTTATTTGAGAGTTCCAATTGTTCCACATCCTCTTCAACACATTATAAGATCGGTCTTTTTAATTTTGACATTCTAATCAGTATGTAGTGATATCAACTTGTGATTTTAATTTTTAATTACTGTTGATACTGAACATCTTTCCATTAACTTATTTTCCATCCATATATCTTCTTTGATGAAATTTCTGTTCAAATGTTTTGCCCATTTTTTTAACTGAGTTGTTTATTTTCTCATACAAGTTCTTTATGTTCTCATGAAAGTTGAGAGTTCTTTATGTATTCTTGAGACAAGTCATCTATCAGATATATGCTCTGCAAATATTTTCTCCCAGTCTGTGACTTGTCTTTTTATAATCTCTTATAGTGTCTTATGAAAAACAGAGGTTTTACAATTTTTATGAACTCCTATTTATTAACCTACTCTGTATAGATGATGCTTGTAATGTCATTTCAATCATGTCTGTCAGGCATGGTGGCTCACACCTGTAATCTCGGCACTTCGGGAGGTGGAGGTGGGTGGATCACCTACGGTCAGGAGTCTCGAACCCCTGGCCTCAAGTGATCCGCCCACCTCTGGCCTTCCAAATTGCTGGGATTTCCAGACCAGCCTTACCAACATGGAAACCCTATCTCTACTAAAAAGACAAAATTAGCCAGGCATGGTGGTGCATGCCTGTAATGCCGGCTCACATCTGACAAAACTCCATCTCTACCAAAAATAAAAATAAAAAAAAAAA